CTAGAATCACAGTTTTAAAGGCCAGAGATAGTGAGGCCTGACCTCAGAACCAAAGCTCTCCAGGTGATTCTATGGTGGGGCTGAAGTTAAGAGCCAGAGCAACAGAGAAAGGTGAATCTCAGGAGAGCAGAGTAACAATGAACATCCACAGTGGCGGGGGGGGGGGGGGGTCATAAGCCACTTTCTCTCATGTGGCCTGATTTAAGGAGCACTGGACTGTGGACTAAAAGGAGAAGGACTTCCTCAAGGTCGGACAGCTAACTTATCTGAAAAGGCAGCCCCCTGAGCCAGAGCTGCTGACCCCCCGTTTGGGGGGTCTTTCCTAGGGCCATGCAGGGCAAAGCCAAGATAGTTCAAGCTGTTCACAGGGGAGGGGGAGGGCAGAGATGTTCTGACAAATGTGATGCTCTGGGGGAGCAGCTAACATTCACATAATCATGTGAGCCAGAGCTCCTGAGGGCAGCTCTGCCTACAAGGGAGAGTTGCTGGTGGGTGGGGTGCAGATGGCACCAAGGCCTGGGAGCAGGTATGGTGGCTAAGGGGAAGGACTATTCACGAAGGCAAGAGAAGCAGTCAGGGAATGAGGCACAGGGAGAGCCTGGGGGACCAGGGCAAGGCACTCAGAGGGGCAGGAGGCCTAGTAGTCAGGATGAGGCACTCAGCAGGGCCAGGAAGCCTGATGGTCAGGGTGAGGCATGCAGCAAGGCTGGGAGACCTTGAGGTCCAGTAACAGCCACAGGCCTTTGGATCATTTTTGGCTGGTCTTGATGGAAATGGCAAAACCTGGAAATTTCTGGAGGCATCACCAGTTCATAGGAACTCTTCTAGGTCTTTCTTTGTCTTGGGTCATGCCTAAGCAGTGCCTAAGCAGTGCTCAGGGCTTACTTACTTCTGGCTTTGTTCTCAGGGATCACTCAAGGAGGTGCTTCAGGAACCATAGGGGGGTGCCAGAAACCAAACCTGCATCAGCCACAAGTTCCTTACCTGCTAGACTATCTCTCCAGATCCAAGGTTTTAAGGAAAACACTATCCCACTAAGGAGATAAGGATCATCTAATTTGTACTGAGCTGCATAATTCCAAGTACAGGATCTCTTTCCATGTTCACAGTGACTTGAGGTCTTATCCTACCTCAGCAGCTCTCTGTGGGAAACAAATATTATAACACCTCTTGGGACACCTGGAGGGTAAATGAAACGTGTTTAACGAAATGCCTTGCGTTTAGGAGGTTCTGAATAAATATTATCACTTATCACTTAATCACTTAACTTCCCGTTAGTCGTCGATTTGCTCGAGCGGGCGCCAGTAACGTCTCCATTTGTCCCTGTCGCGTGCTAGTGTAGCCCAATGGCATCTGTTCGCTCCGGGAACATGGAGGGCCTCAAACCGATCGTTCATGATCTTGACAAAGAAGTCTGACCATCTGGTAGGTGGGCGGCCACGCGGTCTCTTGACATCCCGTGGAATCCAATCAGTAACAGCTCTAGTCCAACGGTCGTCTTTAAATCTCATTACGTGACCAGCCCATCGTTGTGGCAGCCTAGGTCGGCCTTGAGATTTTGTCGGCCTCTCCTTTCTCATCCTTCTCAGTGCTGCCATGTCGGTGAAGCCTTCAGGGACCAGTAACTACAACTGGTCTCATTCACCTGACCCTGAATAAATATTAGCACTTTTTATGGCTGCTTCTTTTTGGGATGTGGATAGTGCATTTCAGAGATTCTAAAGCAGCCTCTAAAGGCTTTTATGTGCATTTATCTTAAAAAAAAAATCTCACATCTATGAACAACTAGGAGCCAAAGAGCATGCAATGCTGGAAGGGAGGTTTCCAATAAAGGAGTTGCAAAACTGGGCAACCCCGTGAAAAACAATGCAAGCTAATTACCACCTTATGCCATTAACAAAAATTAATTAAATGGAGGTTAAAGATTTCCATTAAATTGAATATAAGACCTAAAGCTTAAAAATAGACGATAACATTGGCGGTAAGCAACTCCACACTGTTTTTGTGCATTCAATACTAGTGGAAGATAAACAATAGAAAAACAAATAAAAAGACTAAACCTGAAAGCTCCTGCACAGTTAAAGGAAACAAAATCATTATCAAAATGAAAAAGGCAATCTATTAAATGAGGGGGAATACTTGCAAAGCACACATTCAATATGGTGTTGATATTCAACATCCATACATAGTGCACATAACTCAACCAAAACTAACCCATTTTACAATGAACAGAGAGTTTGAATAGACTCTAAAAAAGATAGATGACAACTGGCATAGCAGAAGATGCACTTCATCACTTAGTCTTGGTTTTGGGGTATTTTTTTTTCGGGGGGTAACCACACCCAGTGATTCTCAGGGTTTGCTTGTGGCTCTATTCTCTCCTGGTGGTGCTTACTGTATCCTATGAGGTGCCAGGGATTGAGCCACATCAGACACACGCAAGGCAAGCGCCCTACCTGCTGTGCTATCATTCCAGCTCTAACCTTATAATTTATTCTTAGGGAAATGCAGAGCAAAACCAAACTACCACTCAAACCTGATAAGATGCTATTAACACATGTCAAGAAAGAAGGGTTGGTGAGGATGTGGAAACAAAGGAACATTTGTACATTGTTGATGGAAATCACATTGATATCACCACTATAAAAAAAATAGTACCAAGAGTTCTCAAACACTTCAAAATAGAACTACATAAGATCCAGCTATTCAACTTCTGGGTATTTATTTAAAAAAAATAAAACATAAAAGCACTCATTTGAAAAGCTATATGCATGCCTATTCATTGAAGCATTATTTCCTACAGCCAAGATAGGAAAATAGTAAGTATCTGCTGACAGACCAGTGGATTAAGATGTGGTTTATACACAATGGAATACTACAGCACTACAAAAGATGAAACTATGCCATTTGTCATGACAAGGTTTGTCCTTAACAGTATGATTCTAAGTGAGGTAAGTTAGGGGAAAGACAAACACCATAACATTTCACTCATATATTCCACATAAGGAATACGCAGAGACATGAACAATTACAACAGAAACATCTCATCATAGAGAACAGATTGGTGATTACCACGAGGGAATAGAGTTGGGGTGAATAAATGGACAAAGTGACTCATTTGTGTGCTGATGGGTGGAAATTAGATGTCTGGTGGCAGTAGTGTAGATAGATCATCATATGACAATGTTGTATACCTAAAACCTTGATGACATGTTATACACTAAGGTTACATCAATAACAATGTACCTTTTTTCCAAAGGAGAAGAGAGGGTGTCAGAGGGAAAATGTGGGTATTCCAGCTTTTAGTGTGAATTTTACCAAGTGTAGTTATCAGCATGAAAGTCCCGTTTCTTGCAGAATAAAAGATATAATAGTTAAGCCTTTGTTGTGTGGTAGTTGGGAGGAGGATGCATGGAAAAATTCAGCATAATTTCTTGTGTCTGATTGCTGTTTGATAATTATTAAGAAATTCTATTAAATATGACTTAGCTAGAATATTTCAAGGCAGAGAAGACAATGCTGAACCCTAGGCTAGTGCTCTTTCTGCTACTTCCAGGCCACTTGCAATGATAAATGGACAATAATCCAAGAAAAAAGTGCTAACATTGATGGAAAGTCAAGTGCATTTCAGACACAGACATCAAAACAAAATGCTTTTCAATACCACAACAAGGCTGAACAGAGACAGTAACTTTCCTAAGACACAGAACTACTAAATAGAGAATGTAAGAGTCAGACCTTTAGCACTACAACCTTAGTCTAGACCAGCGGTTCTTAAACCCAAGTTTGCAGTAGAGTCCCCTGGAAAGTGTGCTAAAATATAGATCTAGGCCCCTCTCTTATCGAGTTTTTGTTTCAGAGGGCCTGAGATAGGGCCTGGAATTTTGCCCTTTCAGAAGTTCCAGGTGATGCTAATGCTGCTAATCCAAGGGCATTGTGAAGAGAACTTTGTCTGAACCAAATTGCCTTCACTTGGTCTGATTCTATTATTATGAAAGATACCAATCTCTGGCATCAGCACAATTTCTGTTGGCCCTTTAGCCTGCCAGAAGCCCAGAGTATGCCAGCACACATTTAAGAAATGTGGGGACTGGGGAACTAGTACAGGTGTTAGGATACATGCAAAGCAGCTACCCAAGCCTGCTTTGATCCTCAGCATCACTTGGCCTCCTGGTATGGCCCCAGAGGTCCTTAAGCAATGCTTGAGTGGTCCCCGGTGGTCCTTTGCACTGCAGGGTCCCATGTAGCATCGAAGCCTCAGGCCCTGGCATTGACCCAACGGTACAGTGTGGTAGAGAATGGCCCCTGGGCCCCCTGAGCACCACTTCTCAAAATCAAAAAAAAAAGAGAGAGAAAGAAACAAAGAAAGAAACAAAGAAAGAAACAAAGAAAGAAAGAAAGAAAGAGAGAGAAAGAGAGAAGGGAGGAAGGAAGGGAAAAGAAGGAAGGGAAAAGGAAAGGAAAGGAAAGGAAAGGAAAGGAAAGGAAAGATAAGAAAAGAAAAGAAAAGAAAAGAAAAGAGAAAAAGGAAATGTGTCGGGGTCTTGTGGCACACTTCCCCTGGCCTTCTGAGTTTTGTGAGTTGGACACAGACTTTGGTCAAGCACTAGGACATTAGCGCCAGCACTCCTGGTTGAGTGTTTTATTATTTATTCACGTGACGCGACCTATAGATTTGGTCTCGGAGGACACCATGCGGCTAGCTGACTCAGTTGCCGTGCACCGCACAACTCCTCTGGCTCCCAGGAAGACCCAGCATGACCCAGCATGGCACCCCGGGAAGAACCCTCCTCTGAAGAGGAGGTCTACTGTCAGACCCGCCCCACACCCGGCAGAGCCACGCAGCACCCTCAGCGCGGGGATGTCATGCAGGGAGGAACAGGTGCTCTGAACGAGGCACGGTCTGAGCGCCACAGGTACCAGCAGCTCACAGGAGTGACCAGCTTATAAATTAAGAGGGCTACAGGATACAAAAGCTTCGGGGCGGGGGTGGACTTAGAGTCAGCTAGGTCATGCCAGGTGTTGTGCGCGCCCTTGAACACCAAGGGGGCTGCTCATGAAAACCAGACGGTGTCTACACGCAGGCCCGGCTCCTCTCATGCCCCCCGTGGAAGCCCCGGGTGTCGTCCGGGCCCCGGGGCCACCGCAGCACACCCACAGGCACCCCTTCCACAGTCTGCATCCTCCGGGAGAGCAGGGGGCTGGCTCCCGGGCTCCTCTCCTGTGTCCCCAGCTCGGCCTGGCGGCGCCTTCGCACCCAGGGGCTGCCCGAGGGCGTGACGCTGCTGTCGGAGGAGTAATCCGTGCATGTGCGCAGGGCCTCGGGGCTGGCACTGCAGTTCGGCCTGGTCTCCTCAGCCAGGGGGGACTTCCTGGGGACCCCTCTGCGCTGGGCCAAGGGGCTGCTCCAGGGGCTGGAGCAGGGGGAGGCACTGGGACTTAAGAAGAGATTCTGGTGGCCGGCGGGGACCAGCTTGTTGCTGAGTGGGTGCCGCCGGCCGGCCATGGGAGACGTGGGGTCGCTCTCGGGGTCGGAGGAGCTGTTGGCTGAGGACTCGTCGCCCAGGTACTGCAGCTCCTCGATCCTCTTGTTTGGGGACTTGTTGAGGTGGACGCTCGCAGCGGGCTCCTCGTCCTGGTTCCGGTCCTTGGCAGGCTTCTTCTTGGGTGGCTTCATCCCGATCAGGACAGCTTTCATGGTCTCCTTGCCTTGTGACTCGGTGACCATGAACTCGTGGGCCCTGATGGCCGCCTCCACCTCCTCGAACTCCACGATGGCACAGTCCTGGGTCCCCACCTGGCTGTAGCGGCTGCTGATGCGCCGGATGTCAGGGGGCAGCTCCCTCCCGGGCCTGAGGATCCGCACAGACGAGATCACCCCGAAGGTCCCGAAGAGCTGGAGGAGGTGCTCCATCACCTTCTCCTGCACCCTGCCATTCTTCTGGGGCGCAGCCAGGGCCCAGAGCTTGGGGGACAGGTAGAGGTCATAGAGCAGGAGCATCTTGCTGGGGAGGTTCTCGTTGGGGAAGAGTGGGACGGGGGTGGTCCTCCTCACCTTCCGCTGATCCTCATTCAGCTCCAGGATCACGGAGTACTTCAGGGCGTGCGCGGTGGTTCTCCAGTCCCGTGTGAGGTGCTTCACCTGGGGAATACAAAGCAGATCTGGAATGCCCCCTGTGCTCTGCCTCCCCGTGTTCTCTGTGCTCCTGTCCTGCTCTCCTTACCCTGCAATACCTGTCTTGGCACTTGGACCTGGTGTGTGTAGGCAAAAATTCTAGTAGACAAACACACTCTCTACAATGTCAGTCAAAGCAGTTCCACTGAGCCCAGGTTGCCCACCAGAACCTGCCATGGCAATGGAAACATTCCACTCTGCTCCGAGCCAATTTAGAGTGCAAGCCTGCAGGGTCTAGAGTAAGACCTGCTGGCTACAAACAGTATCTAGCTGGCAGAGAAACTCGAGGCCGGGGCCAGAGAAACAGCACAAGAGCTGAGGGACTTACTTGCCTTGCACGTGGCCCCTTTGGAGGTAACCCGGATTCACTCCCCAGCTCCACAGATGGACGTCTGAGTATGGCCAAGGATCACTCTTGAGCACCCAGCTAGGAACACTGCCAGGTGTGGCCAGGCTCTCCATCCCACCCCCCAACAGACCGGAAGCTTTTCAACCTGTCAGGACCTCATGTGGAAGATGGTGTTGTGATCCTACCTCACAGAGCTGCCTGGAGAAATAAATAACTATAGATATAAATATCTGCAACCAGACATGCATTTCATATATATGGAACTTAGAATAGCATCTAGCTCACATGTGGACTGAATAACTATCATGTGTTACAACTATTTCAAATATTTCATGCCACCATTTTGACAGAACTTGGGTATTTTAATATGTCAGGGTATTGGGTATTTTAAGTTCCTGTGAAACGGTTTTTTTCCTGTTTCTATTCATTTGACACATCGAAGGCTTCAAAGTATCTTTCATAGTTCACCTCTGTATCTCCCGAAAATGTGTGGGCTGCTTCAACTGGGAATTAAATCCAACTTGAGCTTCATGGCAAATGATGAAACATTCCCTCCCTCCTCTTCCCTTGCTGGAAATTGTGCGTATCAATGCAGTATATAGAAGCTATATTTATATTGTAATGCGGTACTTTTAGAGAGGACCACTTCCGGTGAAGGGAACGCCAGGCAGAATGAGTCACCCCAAAGAAAGAGTGGAAGTGGGTGGAGAGGGGAACCGCAGCCAGCAATGGTGAGACCACGCCACTGAGTCCTTGGAAGCCATGCCCATGCAGATGCTCTGCCCAGGATCCTGAGCCTGGACCGGCACCTTCCTGAACTGGAGCAGGGCGGGCTGGCTGACTGAGAGGGTGGGAGAGCGGGCTGCTGAGAGCTCTGTGCTCTGGGGAAGTGGCTCAGACTTGGGCTGAAGATTCGAGCAGCCACACACAGAATTAGGGGATTAGTCACCATTGCACAGGCTGAGGGCAGAGAAGCCAGTCCAGAAAGGGTGGCACTTCAGGTGGGCCGAGTCAAGCTGGGGTCCAGAACTGGTACTAATGAGGAGGCTCAGGTGAGGCTGTGTGAGATGAGACCCTGGCCGTGTCTCTCTGGGGTGAGACCAGGCTGGGAGCACAGAAATGGGCAAAGTCCTAGTCACTGTCCAGAGCCAGGAGCAAAGCACTGGTTGGGGGGAAGGGGGGGGGGGCGCCGGCTACAGTCTGAGCATGTGGGCCTGTGTGGGCCCTGAGAGGGCATCCAGCCATGACCTTCAGAGGAGCCGGGAGTCTATCTCGGCAACATCACAAGAAGTTGGCCCATGGCCTATGAGATAGACCTTTATCACTGAGACTGCCTATTGTAGAGGCCAGGACCCTCCTTAGCGAAGGGGCTTTGCTATCAGTTTAGAGGGTGTCTGGGTCTACTCTGCAGTCAGTTTTTGCCCTATTAAATAGGTCCACAGAGGCAACTTAAAAAAGGAAAATTCATTTTGAGGGGAGTAGGACCCCAACAGTGCTCAAGAGGCCCAGGGTCCCTCTAGGCAGTTCTCAGCAACTGGGCAGTTACATGCAAGCATCCAAGAGTTGCTGTTGTCTGGACTCTGCAGAACAGAGGAATGGCCAGAGCCAAGCCGGCAATGCTCAGAGGCCTCCAGGGCTGCTCCTGGGAATTCTCAGGGGACCATGGAGACCAGGGTCGGCCGCAGGCAAAACTAGAGACTCTGGGGAGGGAGAGTTGAGCCACCCCCAGCAGTGCTCAGGGCTGACGCCTGGCTCTGTGCTCAGTGATCTCTCAGGAACCACATGGGGTGCTGGACATCAAACTCAGTTGCTGTAAACAAACAAGTGCCGTCACTCCTGGACTATCTCCAGGGCTCCAGGGCCTGAGCCTTAACACCCCCCCCCCCCATATGATCTCTTTGGCCTCCAAATGGAAAGTTCTGTTCTGACTCTTAGGATCCTGGGGTGAAATTAAAGAACCTACCAGATGATTCCATTGCTGCCTCAGTCATTCACTTCTCTTGTGAGGACTTGTACATGCTTCTCTGTACGGGAAATGTCCCTCTCTTCTCTCATACCTTGAAAGTTCCTGCTCATTCTCCAAGATACCATTTCACTACCTCTGGGAGGAAAGTTTCTCGGTTCCCCGGATGGGGCTCGGTGCTCTGATCAACACGCTTCCGATGGTCCTGTGCCCTTCACTTGCCGATGTGGAGCTCGGCCTTGAGGTAATACTGAACCAGTTACCCTCCTTACTTGGCTTTCCAAAGGCTAGGGGGTGGGGGGAGCCACATTCATTTATATACCCCTGGTCTAACATCACTCTCAACAGGCGGAACGGATGTTTGACAGCCAAATGAGGGAAAGGAAGCAGAGGAGAGGAGAGAGGTCCGCAGGGGAGTGCCGAGAGCCCCCAGAGAAAGCACCCCCCCCCCTTCAGTGCTCTTGGTCAAAGAGCACAGGCAGCCCAGCCGAGGCCCACGCATTACACGTCTCGTTATGCAACGGGACGGGTGGGGCTTTTCCACCCTGGTAAACACAGCACGCCCTCAGGAGACACAGTTCTTCTTCCAGCAGCTCCAGCAGCCCTTTGAGAGGCAGGAACTGAAGGCCAAGTGCCACTCTGCACGGCAGAGGGCGGGAGATGGCTTGTGAGGCCACGGGCAGGCTGCATGCAGGGGACTCAAGTTGAACCCAGCTCTGCATGGACTCCCTCTTATACCTCCAGAGCAAGCCCCAAACACAGAGCTTTGAGTGGCTTCTGAGCCTCCCTTCCCTGGATGTAGCCCACCCCAAACAAAAACATAATAAAGAAGTCAGAGAGCTAGTACAGGGGATAGTGAAGTGCATGCCTTGCATGCAGCTGACCTGGGTTTGAACCCTGGCACCCAGAGCATCCCCCAAACAGAGTGATCCCTGGGCACAGAGCCAGGAGCAAGTCCCATACACAGCTGGATGTGCCCCAAAACAAAAACCAAAATACACAAAGAGGGCTGTGAGACCAGCAACCCAAGGAGGTGTTGCTCCCACTAGACTCCCTGGAGGAGGCTGATGCTTGGGGCCGGGTCGCCTCTCCTGGAGTTCTGGACCTGCCTTCCTCCTCTTGTTTCTTTAAGAATTGGGCAGTTTGAATCTCACCTTCTGGCAAGTCTAGTAAGTGTCTCTCGGGCCACTGAGTCCCTGGGCCCGGGCACAGGGCCCCCCACATGCCTGGTCAAGTAGTTGAACTTAACTGCCACCCTTAATGCTCTGAGATATTCCCTGAGTGCCACCAGGCCACTAGGTCCTGTCTCATCCCCCCTCTCCAGGACCCTTGTAAGAGGAGTGGGGCCTTCCCTTGTTCCCTTCCTCCTCCTCTCCCTTCCTCCTCCCTTTCCTCCCTTCTTTCCTTCCTTCTCTCCTTTTCCTTCCCCTCCCTCCTTTCATTTTTTAAAAATTTTTATTTGTGAGACACCATGAGGTACAGTTGTAGACTTACAAATTTTTGTGTTTGGGTTTCAATTATACAACAATCAAATACCCATCCCTCCATCAGTGCCCATTTCCCACCACCACGGGTCCCAGTATCCCTCCCACCCCCCATCCCCCCCATCCCACCCTGCCTCTGTGGCAGGGCATTCCCTTTTGTTCTCTCTCTCCTTTTGGGTGCTGTGGTTTGCAAAAGAGGCAATGAGTGGCAATCATGTTTGGTCTATAGTGTACTTTCAGCATGCTTCTCCCATCCTGGCAGGATCCTCCCAACACCCTTTATTTGGTGCTCCCTTCTCTGTCTGAGCTCCCTTTTCCCCTAGCATGTGTGGCTGGCCTCCAAGCCATGGAGCAAAATTCCTGATACTAATCTCGGCCATTCTTGGGTGTTAGTCTCCTATTTTGTTACTTTATGTTCCCCCAGATGAATGCAATCTCAATCTATGTCTATCCCTCTCTTTCTGACTCCTTTCATTTTTTTTCCATTTTTTCCTTTTTCCTTTTGGTGGGAGGGGGTGGGGAGAGACTGGGTTTTGAGTCCCATGATGGGGTGATCAGAGCTCACTCCTAGAGGTGCTCAGGGGACCCTATGAGGGAGCAAACCTGGGTGGGCTGCGTGCAAAGCCAGTGCTACCCTGGTACTATCTCTCAGGCTAGGAGGGAAGAGGTTCTTAATTGCATCTTCTTAACTGCATCTTCTTGTCTTGGATCATTTATCTCTTTTTCAAACCCCAGAAGAAAAAAAAATATATATATATATATATATCAGCCCACCTGGTTTCAGGGGGTGAAAGTGTTGAGGACTGGGTCCCTGCCTGAGCACTGTAACTTGGGGGGCGGTGGCTGAGGGGGGCTCACCTTCTTGAACGATGTGAGGAGCTTAACGCTCACGTAGCCCAGCTTGTTCCTCCGCACGTGCTTGAGAAGGAAGGCATCTTTCTCCAGGTTTTCGTCTGAGAAGTAGAACTCAATCTGCTCTACCAGCTTCCTGATCAGCTCTGGGTCCGGGGGCTTCCACTCCTGCTCCAGCTCATCTCGCTCATTCTCGCCCCCGCTCGTTGGGGCACTGCTGAGGCCAGAGGCAAAAAGATAAGCATGAGGGAGGGTATGAGCTGCTGACACCCCACACACACCTGCAAATGCCCTCAAAGAAGGCTCCTCTGGAAGTGGGCATCCTGCAGATGGCCTCATGCTGGGGGGTTGGGAGGGTTCCAGTTCACATAACTGGTACCCTGTGGGGAATCTGAGGACACCAGGAGACAGGGCACCAAGGAATGGCAGAAATGGGCATGAGCAGCAGAAGTCAGGAACAGGGGAAGGGTTGTACAGTGGGTAGCATGATTGCTTTGCACGGGGTCAACCCTGGTTTGATTCCTGACAGCACTGCCAGATGTATGTCTTCCCAAAAAAAGAAATCACAGAACAAATGGCAGCAACCCCCCCGCCCCCCCCCCCCGCAAAGTGATGAGGAAACTGGAGCAAACCTGTCCCGGCCCCTCAGAGGAAAGGGGGAGGAGGTCCTGCTCAGAACTGGCATTTGGGACTGCAGCCTCCACAGACAAGGGACAAGGAATTTCAGTGGTTCCAAGGTGCCCATCTTGTATTCCAGCTGCATCAGAAAAGCTCCTGGGTCAGACCTGCAGTCGGGTCAGTGGTCATAGGATTGTGGAGGAACAGGTGTTGCCCTCCACCAGCTAAGCAGTCAAGCTTCTGTTTTTTTTTTTTTGTTTTGGGGTCATACCTGGTGGTGACCAGGGCTTACTTCTGGCTCTGAGCTTAGGGATCACTCCTGGTGGGGCTCGGAGACTATGTGGGGTGCCAGGGATCAAATCAAGGTCAGCAAGGCAAGTGTCCTACCTGCTGTACTATTGCTCTACCCACAATGTTTGCTTTTATCAAGGAAGAAGAGTCCTTAAGGACACAGCGTGCCCACATGGGGTTCAGTTCCCAGCGCCCATCCACCGGGTGCCCTGTGCTTGTACTTATACCTCTCCTCCCATTTCATCTCCAAATCCTGACTTTTAGAATGGCGTTTCTCAACCTGGCACCCTCTTACCCCCAAATGGAAATCCCTATGAGATCCCCAAGCATTACAAGGGGGCACAGGTGAAATTTTGCAAATGGGGGTACAACATGAGACTAAGTAACCAATATATAGGACAGGGGAGTTAGAGGGAGGAAAGATGTTGGAAAATGGTTGTGACTGTTCATAAAAACAGCACAGAAGTGGAAGAAAAAGCCCTAATTCTTGACCTAGACCACCTGAGCAAGAATCCTCACATGATCATTTTTGTTTGGGGTTTTTTTGGGGGGGCACATATGGTGGTGCCCCAGACTTACCCCTGACTTTACACTCAGGGATCACTCCAGGTGGGCTCAGGGGACCATATGTATTACTGGGGACTGAACCTAGATGGACCAAGTGCAAAGCAAACATCCTACCCACGGTATTACTGCTCTGGACCTTCAAATGACCATTTCTGAGCCGAATCAACTTAGACATGGCATTTCCATTATCTGCGAACTGGGAATCCTGACAGAACCTGTCCTGATGGGATTGTTGTCAAGACTAAACAGACAAGTGGAAAGAGCTTCATAAGTGCCAGACTACCCTTAGCTAAGCTCAGTAACTGTTGGATACATTCCTTTGTGCATTCGTAAGAGACATATTTAAGATTCAAATTTAACTGCACTGTATCCAAAACCTTCCACATGTTGTGAGACCTGACAGAGAATGTGGAACCAAACTCTTTCAAAGCCGCCCCTGCCATCAGTGCCCTCCTGGGAGGCATCATCTTCCTCTCCATAAGAATATTAGACCTGAGCTGCCTTTTCCCCTAAAGGAGAGAGAGAACAAAGGGGAATTCCCTGCCACAGAGACAGGGTGGGATGGGGGGGATGGGATTGGGAGAGATACTAGGATCCGTGGTGGTGGGAAATGGGCACTGGTGGAGGGATGGGTATTTGATCATTGTATAATTGAAACCCAAGCACAAAATTTGTAAGTCCGCAACTGTACTTCATGGTGTCTCACTAATGAAAAAAAAAAGAAGAATATTAGACCTGGAGATACAGTCTAGGGGTTAAGGTACTTCCTTTGCACATAGCAGACCCTGGCTTGATCACTTGAGCACCTCTAAGAGTACAGCTGGGAGTACTCCCCACACTAAAATAAAATACCAATCACCCAAAGCATATTGAAGAAAAACAAATGATCAAAGAAACTAACTTTAAAAGTTCTTTTTAGGGGCTAGAGAGTAAGTACAATGGATTTGGCCTGCCTGGCATGCAGCCAACCCAGGTTTGATCCCTGGTATTACATATGGAACCCTGAGCCCCATCAGAAGTAAACCCTGAGCAACACAGGGTATAGTCAACCCCCCCCCCCACCCAAATAAATACATGGAAGTCTTTTTTAAATGGGATGACAAACTAAAGAAATCTATTAAGATAGACTAGGGGCTGGAGCGATAGCGCAGCGGGTAGGGTGTTTGCCTTGCAAACAGCTGACTGGGGTTTGATTCCCAGAATCCCATATAGTTCCCCAAACACCACCAGGAGTAATTCCTGAATGCAGAGCCAGGAGTAACAACTGTGCATCGCTGGGTGTGACCCAAAAAAGCAAAAAAAAAAAAAAAAAGACAAAAAAAGAAATAAATTAAGATAGTGTATAAAATTTAACAGGTCAAGCACAACTTAAACACGGGACAAGCTGATAACTTCCAAATTCTCTGAAAGGCAGCTATGAAGAAAATAATCTACCTACAATTTCTAGTAGCAAATTCATTCTCATTTTCTTTTATAGGAAATTATAAAAGCGACTCACTCCCTCAGCCTCTCTTGTGTTATGATTAATAACATGCAAATGATGTGACGTCTGGAACTGTAGCAGCTATTTCACTACCACAAGAAACCAGCCAAGAGGCTGCACTTGACTTGATTGGCTTGCAAAACTGATACCTCTAAACTTACCTACCTGCAGATTTCAGATTATTACACAAAAAGGGTAAAATCCCATTTATTTATCTCACTTGTTAGTTGGGGTTTCTATTACTTACATGAAACTATAATTCTATCAATGATATTTTTCTCAATTTAATATTATACTGAGAAAAGAAGTCCTTAAATCATGCCACATGTCAGTGTGACCATCAATAAAATTTTAAAAGATAAATGAGGAACAGAACGTATTTTTACTTCATTAGAGAAAGTATGTACCCCAAGCAGTGTTAAAAGAACTAGACTAGGACAGATAAATGCACTACAAATGCAGAGAGCAATCTAAACTCAGCTGACACATATTAAAGGGAAAGGGGTAATGTGGAAAGTCTGTGATAATAATTTTAGGTGAAGTTGGGGGCGAAGTACCCCAAGGACACCGCAAAAATAATCTATAAAGGTGTCTATGTCAGGGGTAACCAAACTACCAAAGAGAGCCACAGTCCAGCATGTCTGACTCCCAAACTGGAGCAGTTGAAGCTATTACAAAAGCAAACTCATAAGCAAAGCATATCAAAAGGCAGAGATGATGCAATTTTGCCATTTCTGCAATGCCTATTTAATAATCTCTCGTTCTTCTAATGGTCAATCATGGGAGACTCTACAGTGAACTCTCATGTTTACTGTGAAAATAAAGATCATCCACTCAAATTTGCCCCAACATCCCTGTGGATCCACCTACTTCCCACCTCAGTTTGTTTTGTGCATCTAAAGAATTTATCTGCCACATCCAGGTGCTTGATCTCCTCTTGGTCTCTTGTCCCCAAAGCAGGATGAAGACTACTGAGCACCTTCCTGAAACTCTTCCCCCTCAGCCTACAGCATTCTTCTTCCCAAGTGACTCTTCTCCACTGCCCTCTTTCTCCTCTTCTTTCCACATGTAAGCACTCCTTAAGGAGGTCCTTGACACTTTATCCCCAGCGACTTCTACCTCCCTTCTTCTGTTGCTCCTGTACTGTGCTCAATCATTAGCTGCTCCCTTCCCTGGATAATGTGGCATGGCTTCAAATCCACTCTGTCCAGGATCCAGCTATCCAACTTTGGCAAACTCAGGTATGACCAAAGCCTACCAAGAAAAAAAAAATCTTCCAGGGAAATGCCTTGTCCTTCCACAGTCTCAAACTATTGGGGAGCTTCTTGCATGCAGAAGACCACTCTCCCTGACCTTGCTCAAGCACTGCTGCACCTCCAAAGAGGAATTCGGAGAGCAGAAATGGCTGTTTCCAATTTGGAAGCACGATGCAGTGTTTCCTGGTTCAGGGAATAGCCTCTGCAGAGGAAACACCCTTCATCCTATTGGGACAGGGAAGAAGGTTTCTGTCTTTTGATCTGAATACTGGCACCTTCTCATCCTTTGCAACCATCCTAGGAAAACCTCTCTTCCTTCCCAAATGCCCCTCCACTACTTTCCCTGTCACTCTGTGACACTCTTGGGCTCAAGACAAAGATGTGTCGTTAAAAGATCACTTTTGCCCCCACATTGAGTCAGTTATCAAGTGTTGACTCAATTCTGCAGTCTGCCATCTGTTCTCTCCTCTACTCTGAGTGTTCTCATTACTTCTCCCAGGGACACTATTAATAGCTCATCAGAGATTTTCTTCATTAAATGTACCACCAAAAAACCATCAGAGAACTTTTGTATATGAAGCAACATTCTTTACTCCATCTCTTCACCCTAAAGGCAACCTCTACTCAACCATTTAGTTCCTATGAGGGGGCTGGAGCGATAGCACAGCGGTAGGGCGTTTGCCTTACAAGCGGCCAACATGGCCGGACCCGAGTTCGATTCCTCCGCCCCTCTCGGAGAGCCCGGCAAGCTACCGAGAGTATTCGATATGCCAGACACAGTAACAACAAAGTCTCCAATGGAGACGTTACTGGGCCCGCTCGAGCAAGTCAATGATCAACGGGAGGGCCTTTACTTTACTTTATTGTCCTACAGTTCTATAAAATATGCTCATTGCTCTGCTGTCCACTTGCCCACCTTAAATATTCTCTACTCATGGCCTGGAATATAAAATAAAGATCTCCCAAAGTTGTTTCTTCCGATTTTTTGAAGTATCATCATTA